GTATGACTTCTTCTTCTTTTATGGTAGAACATGCAAAAATTTACGAGCCTTTATGAATTTTCTCTTAAAATGAATTATTTTCTTAAAAAATATTCAGAAAAAATAGAACCCTTTAGTTTTTTTTTTTTTTTTGATAACCAATAGAACCCCTTTAGTTATTGGGACAAACCTACCACCGACTCTCTTATCTCCGTTAACACGTCTAACATCACGAAGTTGACCAACTCGAATACCAACGAAAACACGAGGAACCTTCTTCATATCGAAACCCTCCTCGAAGGTCTGAGGCATCAGATCCGAAGCTAAGTACCTAGGATAGTTCTTAGACCCAAGTCACTGTCTTGTACTTTTCTCTTAAACCTCCAAACCCTAATACAAATATAAATAGCCCTAATGGAAACACCAACAAAAAACCCACATCTTCCAGAGCAATTTCCAATGGAAACACCAACAAAAAACCCACATCTTCCAGAGGAAATATCAACAGAGATTCTAGCGAGACTACCTTTGAGAAGCATCTCCAGATTCAAATCTGTTTGCAAAACATGGAAATCTACACTCAAATATGTCTTTTCCGAGATCTCTTTGTGTCTCTCCACAAAAACTCATCATCCTCTTGGTCACTAATACTTGCAAAAATTTGGCCTAAAGAGTTTATAGGGTTATATGGATGTGAGACATGGGATCTTCCAAAGTCTCCAGCTTCTTATATCTCATTCCCTTCTCCAGCTTTCCCGGATCTTGGAACAGGTAATTTCGCTTTTTCTGCTTCTTCCAATGGATTGGTTTTAATGGAAGGAAGTGGTTATGGTTGTTATGTTGGCAATCCAGTATTACAACAGTGGGTTGAAATCCCTTCTTGTCCATACAAATCTTTGTGGTTTGGTTTTCTGACTCGTGTGGACGAGGACGGAGTTGTTTTGAGCTTCACAGTGGTTAGGGTAAATGATACACCGTTGACTTATTTTCATGTGTTCATGTATTCGTCTGAGACTGGGATTTGGACTTCTAAAAGTCTTCACCACCTTAATTACACCGCCTACTCATCATCTCCTATGAGTCTCAATGGGATGCATTATTTTTTGTCCCAATTAGATGTAGATGAACCTGAAGAACTTATAGCTCATGATTTTTTTTCTGAATCCCATCACTATCGGGCTATACATTTCCCGGATCGTTTGCATCACTACAGCCGAGACTTCAAAAGAGCATTGACTACATCTCGAGGATATCTCATGTATATCAAAACATTAGCTCGAAAGAGAGACAATGTT